GCAACCCTCTCTTCTGGAACTCAATTGTGTATATTAATGCATACAAAAGATAAATTGCCATTAAGTTAAATCAATTTTGATTCGTATTTTTTTGGGAAAAATCTATGTAATACACATACCTGCCTTCAATAATCCAAAAACTTTTCCTCCTTTGATCTCTTTAATCATATTATCAAGTTTGATTTTGAAAATGCGACAAATCAAGTCAGGTCTATCTTCAGATTTCAATCCTTGGGCCCTCAAGTATCTAGAGTTCAGGCCAGTTTTGATTGTATGTGAATGTAATGAATAAATCAGGATAGCCCATCCAGCGGCATGTTGCCATAACGTCTTGATAATTCTGAAACATGTATCTTGCACCACCCGTAAAAGATGATGGTAGCACAATGCGTTTACCCACAACCGTCGGATTTGTATCACCCCTTAGGACGGCCTCTTCGATTCCTTTATACATGTCTGCCCTAACTTCCTTCTGATGAGTTCTGTAGTAGTACAATCGAGTTGATTCAATTGTTTTGAAACAGTCTGCCCTAACTTCCACCAACAATTGTTGAAACAGACGTTTTGAAAACAAAAGGCATGCTTGTTCAGCATCTCGATTTTGAAATCTGTAAGCATAAAATTGTCTCATTGAAACCTTGTCCCTCTTATGTGAGCTTGCACTTTGAGTCTCGTTTAATGAGATATCATTTGTATATCCTTGCTCTCCCCTTGGGAACAACAATGGGTATTGTAATGGCAAATACGCCGAGCTCAAAACAGACACGCTTCAGAGCATTTGATTGTGTTTCCACTATTATATCTCTCTCACCACTAGATGCATTAAAATCGCTCACAATTAGCGCTGCTACTTCTGAGGTCGTGGGAAGATTATATGTTCTAGCATCACGTCCTCTTTGCCCCAGAAGCCTCAACTTTAGAGGTGCCACCTCATTGTTTTGCACTCTATCACGAACCATTCTGTAAGCCTGAGCGTAAGGATTGTACTTATCAAGCATTTTTTTCAGATAACTCACAATCGATTACTGCATAGAAATGTGTAAGAAAATAATGAGAAATGTTTTTGTCGGTCCGGACCGAACGGAACGGCCATCCGACCGACGCCATCGGGCTTCCCGGTGGAATTCGATGATGTATTTTTGTGAGAATGTTATTAATGAATTGTGTATTATCTTTGCAAAATTTCAGTTTAAATTCGATCTAAATGTTTGTTAAATAAATCATTGGAACTACTGCGCAAAAATGCATTTTTTTTCAAAAATTTATTTAACTAACTTATTGATTGTATGTAGAGATGAAATTTTGTATGGATGTTTTAAACTTCATGAAGAAAATTCTCACAATATTTCATAAAAAAATTGACATGGAAGTCCCTCAAACAGGCTTGGCCGGACTGGATAAGCCTATTTATAGGAAAAATGAAATTGTATTCACATATATGTTTTAAGTATGCAAATGAAATTGTATTCGCATACATGGTTTGTGGAAAAAATGACTTACCCGACCACTTCCATTCTGTTAGATATTTCATTATCTGTATCATATATGTATAGCTGTGCAAATTTGGGGTTCTCTCCGGGTAAAGGGAGCAAACTTCCGATTCTATGATAGTTCTCACCATTCTAAATATACATGGGAGGACCGTTGCCATCATTCTGAGACACTTCAATTCTTCCACCAAGAGACGTGAATGAGAACATCATATTGAAGGATCGAATATTTCGTAAGAAATATTTACTTCGTGCATCCTTCTTATGAAATAAATCACTCAGAGGCTGTGGTGGAGGCATGAGATGAGGGATTTTTATTTTTCCTTGCATGAAACATAATGAGAATTTTGAGTTTTTTGCTTTGTATCATTTCCCCACCCTCTAAGAATACCACATTAAAGCATTACAAAATTCACACTCCCATGTTGGATCCCCAATGTCAAAATATCCTAATTCAGAATAAACCAACAACATAATGGTCAGCATGAGAAATAAATTTGTAATATACCATTACATATAGCCAAATGTAATATGTTCTTGTAATACCCTCATATGAAACTATAGGATCATCGGGCAGAGCATTGTTTTCATCATCATTATCAGCGACATACTCATTCAGTGCATTTCCTATATATCATTGGACATGTGAAATTAATTTTAAAGATGAAATATATAAAATAACGTGATAATATAATTAAGGCTGAAAGTTATTTTAATTGTGGAGAATGTTGTTTACCAATTTCAACACCTTGAATGTGTTTGGTGGATCGATTCGAAGCCAAAGGGTCATGCACACTTATGTCAGAAATGTGAACATCTGTGTGTAGCACATGTTACTAAGAATGAACATTATTTCCAAAATAAGAAAATGAATCAAACATTACCGAGTTCTTCATTATTATTCAAAACACGTTGAATCAGCATTACACCAGTTCCACTTGTGTGTTCTTCTACAAAAAAGATATACAAATCATATTGCTAATGTACTCTTGACTATTAAAATGAAAATGAAATGCATTTACACTTTACATACCATTATAATGATGTTCTGAGGGGATGGTGGAAAAGGTGGCATGATTATGCGTTAATGGATTTGAATCATTGGAACTCACAATATTGTCATTACAACCCTGACCTGAATGAAAGGAATTTACATATGTTGTTTTGAGTGATTTACTTTATGTATAGGATGCACCATCCGATTTATGTATTCATAGCATTATAAAAAGTAACAAAAGTTAAATGTACTATGCAATCACAAAATATAATTACATTAAATTAAAAATCTATTTATATCATACCTCTCAAAATAAATTTCCCAGCACCAAGCTTCACCATTTGTACACTATCATTGGACAACACTGTTAAATTTGGGTCTTCTTGGTTGTCGGTTGTTTTCCTTAACTGTTGACTTCCAATGTCATTCAAACGCCGAGGTCTGTTTTCATGCAAACTGATCCGTGCAAATGTTACAACATAAGTCATTCTATCATGGGGCATATCTATAATATATTTAGTTTTTAAATTTGTGAAATCAAGTGTGATGGTGCGAACCGTTTGATATCTCACGAAGTGGAGTTCTATTGGACATGCTATCAATATCGAAAGGCGGAAGTGATCTCGATGTAGTGTTGCTACAATCATTTTCTACAAAATGTGTGTACATCCATAATAGGAGTAATAAAAATAGCATAGAAAGAAGAGAGATAGGGAAGTAATATTAATCTTTCACTCATATTTCTTGTATGAGTAAAAAATATAGTAGTACTACTACTACTAATAATAATAATTGATTGATTGATTGATTGATTGATTGATTGATTGATTGATTGATAGATAGATAGATAGATAGATAGATAGATAGATAGTATTACAAATAAACATTTTATAGATTTTTTCAAAATCATTTTGAAGAGACAACATACCTTTAGTAGTAGTACCTGGGACAAGAATTTTTTGTAGATGGAAATTATTGTTGCCTTGCTGATAATTTTCTTGTAGCACACTTCTTAAAAAGTGTTTTCCTGTTCCAAGTTTCTTGACTCCAGAATAAGAGGTGGCCATTACTGACGCATCTCGACTCTCACTTTGACTTAACCACCGTGGAATTAATTGAACCGTGTCTTTGTTCTGTGTCATTTAATTTTAAAAAATTAGTTTTCAATTACTTAAAAAATGATTCAAACGCAAGTGATTTGGTTGAAATGTGATAAATAAATACATACATCTAATCTAAGCTTCATAAATTGGTATCATAAACATAACATACCATTGGTCACATTTGTGTAAATATCCACTGATATGATTAGAACTGCTTTGTGTGGTACCATTTATGTAAAATTTTCCAGAACCTAACTTTCTTATCTTTGTGGTACTATTAGGGAGTGTTTGCAATAACTTAAAAAAAGCATTTCTCAGCTTCTAGCTAAAAAAACACTTATTTACCAAACACTACCAATTTTTACTTTTTCTCGGCTTGCGTGTGAAAAGTGTTTTTCCCTTTTCTATTACACAAAAAACACTTATTTTACTAAACACTACCAACTTTTACTTTTCAAAATCATTTTTTCTCAAACACTATCAACTTTTACTACTAATCACTTTTTCTTTACATCTCCAAAAGTATTTTTTTTAGCAGAAGCAGTTTCTCAAGCCATTATACCATAAATCTCACCTTTTACAAAGATAATATTTTGTCAAGATAAAAAAATAACTTGGAATAGCAAGTCATTAACCGGTGAGAGACCAGTGAATCAAAATGGGGTGCAAAGATTGGATTATTCTTAAATAACGAAAAGATGAGACTATTGTAAGAAGACCACTAAAAGGGTGAATTAGTAGTTTCCATTTTCCCTTTTTATAAAAAGAGCATCATATAGACACACTCACTTAATCCATCACTTAAGCCATTTTGACCTGTTATAGCATGTAATTTTTTAAAAAATTATACTTATAAAAATTCATATGAATATGAAAAATAATGTAATAATAACATAAAAAATAGCACATATGTCAAAACGTATAAATAAATTTAAAACGGTAAAATAAAATAAAAACTGGAAAACAGAAAAATAAAGGGAAAATAATTTCAAAAAATCTGACATTGACATTATGAAGTTTTTCATATTTTTTATCTATATTTTTCCAAATTTTAATAATTCTTTAAAGTTTTTAAAAATAAAAATCTTGCTATTTCAAGATGAAAACTGGAAAAATATTTAAAGTAAGCGCACTTATATGATAATTGTTTTCGGTTACAATGACTAATTAAGTGATTGATTGGAAATGCTATAAAGCCTTAAGTATCCTTTAGAAAATAATTAATATCCTTTAGAAAACATATACAAGTAATACAACCATACTTTCCTTAAGTATTTTCACGGATTCAACAAGTTCACTTATTTCAACCATGAGTTACTACCAATTCAATAAAAACATTCCATAACTAATAACTGGTCATAAATTTAATATACTCAGCGTGCAATTGTAGATGACTTCTATCCACCAAGGCTCGATTTATTTTACTTTTTCTTGACCAAGTTTAAAAAAGAATATACGGAATACATGTTGAACCATACTTTCCTTAAGTGTACAGTGGCTGCAAGAAACCCCCAAATTCTGCTTTTGCTACCCCCGCAAAATTTGGCCTAATCTACAGCAAAGCTTGTCCTCTCTTTATTCGCAGTATGATTCCTCTGCTACTTTTGAAAACTATGGGTATGGGGCGTTTCATCATTTTTTCCTGCTCTTAAAGCAACAAATCATAAACTAAAAATCCTCACAAGCCAAACCCTTGTTGTCTTCTTCACCATCCAAAGTTGAGAGCTTTTTCTACGATTTCTTCATATTAATCCATATCGGTATGCATCTGGCTCTTCTTTTTTTATTCCCCACTCATTTTGCAGTTATTTTTTAAGTTGCTGAGAGAACACATACAGATTCAGTTATTGTTTGAGATAATCGAAGAATCTGGCAGGAAAAGACTAAATCTTGGTGGTATTTTTGCCTGATTATGCTTAAGATGAGGGAGTTTCCTTCTTGTTTCGGCGAAAACGGGGTTCAAGTTGCCGATACTTCCTGTTCAAGTATTTCTGGGATCAATAAAACTCCACAAAATTTAGTTACCTGCGTTTACCAGTGTAGAATTCTCCATAAAATCTGTTCGGTGACAATTTCTTGGAGCAAAAATTTGATGGGTCAATGCCTTAGTGTAGGGATAGACGATTCCTCTCACCATTGCCTTTGTAAAGTTGATGTTAAGCCTTCTTTGTTCTCAAAACGAAAAGGGTCAAAGTCCTTAGAAGTGAACTCATGTAGAATTGATCTCTATTGGGATCTGTCAGGGGCGAAGTTTGGATCCGGCCCGGAACCTTCTGAAGGGTATTACATAGCTTTAGTGTGTAATGGGGATATGGCTTTGGTTATTGGGGATATGAGGAAAGAGGCATTCAAGAAGACTAATGCAAATGCCACTTTTCCTAATGCCTTGTTAGTATCGAAGAAGGAACATGTTTTTGGGAAAAGGGTGTTTGGGACAAAGGTTAAGTTTTGGGATGGTGGTCCAGTTCATGACCTTATGATCGAGTGTGATACAAATGGGATTGATGACCGATCCCTTTATGTCCGTGTTGATAGTAAGACTGTGATGCAAGTGAGGCATTTGTTCTGGAAGTTCCGTGGGAACTATACGATTTTGGTTGATGGGCTTCCGGTTGAAGTTTTCTGGGATGTCCATAACTGGCTGTTTGGTGGGACCAACTTTGGGAATGCGGCGGTTTTCATGTTCCAAACATGTTCTTCGGCTGAGAAGTTGTGGAAAGGGCAGTCGCTATCAGATGATTCTGTGTTGGCTTGGCCTTCTTACTCAGAGAGTTCCAAGTCTCCAGGTCTTGGTTTTTCTTTAGTGTTGTATGCTTGGAAGAGTGAGTAGAGGTTTTGTCTACTTGATCACTACTTAATTTATCTATCAGGGTTGTTAATTTTCTACGAATGGAGTACTTTGCCTAAAAACTTTTTTTTTATGTTGGGTCTTGATGCTGATTATAATTCAGTTACATTTTCCTGTAGTAGAGTGTACATTAGGCCTGTGATGGTTAAGGATAACAGGAATGAAACTTTTGTTAAAGAAAGCTTGTGATTTGTGATTTCTTTATAGTGGTTGTGGTTGGGGCTTCACTTTGTTGAAGATCCATCTATGTATGGTGTTCAAGGCAATGATCAGGTACATGGTTTGTGTTTTTCTCTTTTTTAGATTGAGAGCTTTGGAAGTCAAGTAGTTCTACTAAATGATGATGTGCTTCTTTTTTTACTTTCATCTCCAATGCTTTCTTATACTACCTATTTCACTTCAATTCATGTTTATCCATGTCACTGTATAATGTCTAACCCCTTTGACACAGAATTGTTCACCTTTAAGGTCAGTGTTTGGACTTTGGAGAGAGGGGGTTGGAGAATGGAGAACTAAGTCTTTATCTTGATATCTAATGAAAAATTTTATATTTCAAATGAAGCAGTGACATATAATAGGCACTCATCAAAGAAGGTTATAAGCATTTAGATCAATCATGCTTAATTCGTACTCCGTATTCAGAAACATTGTATTTATCGGAATATACGAAGTATATAGATATAGGCTAAGGTCGCCGACTCTGAGGTTTGTCTTCTCCTCCGAAACCCCGTCCAAACTCACCCTTACTGGATATACACTGCTTTCCCCGACTTTAAATTGATAGTTTCGGTGAACACATTAGTTCTTTGGCTGCAACCATAAACACCTCTTCGCTGTTCTTTCACAGAGATTTATACAGGTAAAAGCTCTGTTTTCAAACCCGTATTATATCACTCCTTAGTACAGAGTAGTTCTTAAAATTAGAAAGCTTGTTTTCTACGAGTTTGGTAAAAACTATTTACTCAGTAAATCCCAAAAAATAGAGAGGTTATTTTCTAGGAGGATAGTAAAAAACTGTACTCCATCAGTCCAACTGTCCATTTATATGTTTACTACTTGGGATAAGAGTCAGATAGGGCCTCGAACTCGAAAAAAAATGTCAAATAAGGTCATATTTAGGATGCTCTGTCCGGCCGACGCCATTTGGGGTGGTTCCCGATGGAATTTTTTGATGAATTTTTTTGAGCATCTTCCTCATTAAGTCTAGTTTACTCATACCAAATTTCACCTAAAAATGCAACCGAGAAGGTAGTCAAATGATTTTCCGAAATGTACGGGGTTGTTTAACTTCACAATTATCTTCAAAAAATTATTTGACTACCTTCCCGGTTGAATTTTTAGCTGAAATTTGGTATGGGTAAACTAGACTTAATGAGGAAGATGCTCAAAAAAATTCATCAAAAAATGGCATCTGGAACCGCCCCAAATGGCGTCGGCCGGACAGAGCATCCTAAATATGACCTTATTTGACATTTTTTTTCGAGTTCGAGGCCCTATCTGACCCTTATCCCTTACTATTTCATGGATTTCAATGCCATTGCTGTACTAACAATATTTACAGACTACGATATTTGGACTTTAGAATCGTTCTGTAAACGGTTTGTTAATCATATTCAAGCCTTTTGAAATAGTCAAACTATTGATACACGGATTGTTAATCATATTCAAGCTATGAAAAATATTAACAAAAAAGGTGATGACTATATATAGCTGTCAATCCGCCGGGGTAGCTGGATAACTGGATGGCCAACAACTTCTTACCGAGTATTTAGGATGTTTTTACTTCGAGAATTTTCTGATCTTGTTTAATCTGGTATGGTAAATGTTTGGTCTATATGTATTTTATAACTGTTCAGGTTTGGTCTTGTTTGATCTAGTCTGGTCAGACTGAAAACACTCCAAGTAAAAACATTCTCATAAATGTAAGTTTGAGAGTTCGTTTGGTAATACTGAAATTCGCCGAGTTTGTTGAAAATTGAGAGAATTTTTGTTGAAGTTTCTTAATTAGCTAAATTTGTTGAATTAAGAAAGAAATATATTTAGTAATACTACATATATTTTACTGATAAGTAAAGAAAAATTAGATGAAAAATAGTTAAAATGATTCTCTAGTAGCTTAAATCAATTTAATCAGAATAGTAATTGCAATCTTATTTATTTTGATGATTACAAGGCCACGCACGAAATACAAAATTACATAATTAATTAAAAGTTGATTGATAAACTGAAAATATAGATTATTAAAATTTAAAATTATTAATTTTCACAATACTTGAAGGATTAAATGTTGGGAATTCTAAATTCGAGATCGAAAATTGTCTCATTCACAAAAAATATACCAATTTGTCCATGAGTTTTGCATTTTCTTTACCAATTCGGTTCTCAAAGTTTTTTTTTTACCAATTTGGTGAACCACTTTTTTTTCTTTTTACCAATTTGGTAATTTGGCCTGGCTTCCACCTGTACTACAATTCCAAACACAAAAAACCCGGTCAAGTCCACTTCTATTTTGATCCGTTGAATTGCAATAAAAAATGGTTATTCGAGTGATAACGTCTTTTGCTTCTGAGAGAAAATCACTTTTGGAAGGTCATAATAGCGATTAGCGAATATGGGGGCAATCGTACACGCTTTCGGACTTTCGGTCTCCTAAAACAATACTACGTTCTAGTCCTTGCTTAATATCCACTCTTGGTTGAATAACAATGGTTCTTAATAAGATGTTGTAGAAGCTGCTATAAATATTACGAGTAATATTGTTTTGATTTCAAGTATTGTACGTCTAAATAAATTAATTTTGTCTCACTTTCATTTAAAGTATTGAATTTGTGTCTTTGTTCATTTCTTTCTCATCTGCACAAATTTCAACTAACTAAAGAATTTTTAATTTTCTAATCTCTTACTCAACATAAAGTTGGCAAAATTGAATGGAACAAAGGTCATACAATTATTCAAAGTACTTTATATATTTGGGATAATTGCCTAAATAGGAGAAACTAAAAGCTAAATTACAAGAATATGAGTCGAAGTTATGTATTCCCACAATATGATTAACTAGTACTCTATATGCCGATTCTACCATTAACATACTAGTATATTGGTATTAAAAAAGTCATTTTTTTAATTATAAAAGTCATGAACATAAAAAAAAATTGTTGGCATCTTCTTAATGACATATATTACAAGTCATCGTTGATGACTTCTAATTAGGGATGGACTCGGGCCGATTCGAGCCCGGTTCGGGCCTGGGCCCGGCCGGGCCTCAGTTCAGGAAAGGGGAGGCCCGGAACCGGCCCGGGCCGGGCCTCGATTCTTTTTTTTTTTTTGCCTTTTAAAAATTAAAGCCTAACCTCCCCCCCTCACCCCAAACCATCCCAAATCATTTCAAATGAACCAAAATACCCAGCCCAACCCAAAAACTTAAAAAAATTCTAAAAAAAAAAAGAAAAAAAATAATAAAATGGCCCGAACCGGGCCCGAACCGGCCGGGCTTGTTCGCGTTTTGAGAGGCCCGGGCCCGGACCGGAACCCCAGCGGGCCGGGCCTACCCGAACCGGTCACTGACCGGGTTACCGGGCTGGAACAGTGCCGGTTCGGGCCGGTTCCGGGTCGGGCCACCCGGCCCGAGTCCATCCCTACTTCTAATATGCCAACTTTTTTGTCGGAATGTCAACTTGAATCAATAATGACATTACAAAGTGAAATATGCCATTTTGAAAAGTAATAATGTCATCGTGATGGCATTTTCAAGTTAAAATTTGTCATTTTTAAACAACCAAAGAAATTGAGCATCTGGATCTCGATGAAACATGAGAGGGGAAGAGAGAATCAGAGAGGAGGAGAAGGAGGAGGCAGAGACGGAGGGAGGGGTAGAACAGTACAATAAGTCCTTTCACTGCAGCCACCGTATCTGGATTTGCTACTCGTCGAAGCTCCCACGCCGCTCGCTGCTGCTCACCGCACCTGGATGCCCTTCGTTGCAAGCTTGCAACTGCAGGTGAGGAGCGGAGAAGAAAGTATCGCCATTACTTGCTGCTCGTAGCACCTCGAAGCTCGTTGTCTTGTAGCTTGAGTTGATGAGTGATGGTTGTTGACTTGTTGTTGTGCACGATTGAAAAAAGTTAGAATTAGGTTAAATTGGGAACAATCAACAATGGTCTTATTTAGAGAATGAAAATATAACTACTCCTATTTTGGAATTTAAGCAACATTTTGCTCCTGTTTAGAAAAAATTTCCTATATATTTTTACACTGTGTGCCCTGCAATAAAATGTTTTATTTCAGTTTATGATATTCAATGGATGATAATTGGAATTTTCATATATTAAAAGCAATTCAAACTAAAGTAATATTAGATCATAAAATCAAATATGAACCCAATAGAATAAAAATTTTGACACGAATTTGCGTAGATTTTTATTAGGACTTTGTGCTGATGTTTTTGTGATATTGCGGCTTTTGGCACGAATTTGTGCCAAATTCCTACGAATAACTTTTTTCACGAAAAGACTAACACGAAGTTGTTAAGAAACTTCATTCAAATTCATGAGAAATTTGCGTCAATCCTATTTTTTTTTATCTTGACATATGATAGTAGCTCAAAATATAAAACCAGATAATCCAAATGAGTTGTATAGAAGGCTTAAAGCGTACACCAAAATTGTACTTTCATTTTGAGACGTTGATCGTGTTATATTTCAAATGATTATGTAGTATTGGACCATTGTCCTAGTTCTAGACGTAACTCAAACCTTCAAGCTATATTGGTGCAAAAATTATTGAAAAAATCTCTGATGCGAGGATGGTGTGGTTCCAGTACACTTATACATTGTTATATTGGGCGATATCGAAGAATTATAGTCTCAATTTTGTGTCTTTTTAAAAAACTGATATCCATGTTTAGAGCTGTCTGAATAGGCTTGGAACTAGACCCAGAACCCGTAAATGCACATGAGTAGAATTCATTCTTTTGACTAAGTTGTGACTGAAAATACGCACGGACTAAGATCATTTGGAGTGGTGTGAGAATCTAAATGTCAAAAATGGACTCCGTCCATATGAAAACAGTGTTTGGACCCTTTTTTCTTGCATTCAAGCACCTCAATAAAATACATTGCACAAATTTTTACGTATCAATTTAGTAAAACATTAATTAAATTATTATAAGTCATTTTTTTTCTTTTGATTTATTCCCTGAATAATTATGAAATAAAAATACACATTTCGATGTAAAATTAAATAAATTTCATTATTTTTTTAACATTTTTTCGGTT